TTTAGAGCTGGGAAAGGTGTTTTGTGGGTTAGAGAACATAAAGAGGAATATTACTAATTAGAATTATTGTTGAGAACTTGTTTTATCTACATCATCTGACTATTTTTTTCTAGGCTATCTTTTAATTTTCTACGTCCACATGGGACATAATTTTATCAGTGCCTCCCACACAGTGGAAGCTTACACTATATTTGTTTAAAAGAGAGCAACACAGATAGAACCAAAAACTGCAATCCGGCCAAGGAGATGGGTAATGGAGGGAGTACTGTGATGGGCATTTGCATATTGGGTTCTGATGTCATCCTTCTTATATCTACTTGTGTGGTTTGGCCACATAACTTCACCACTCCGAGCTTCCGTCTTCTCTTACGTAAACGAGAAGGTTGTTAAACGATGTGTTTGCCCCTCACGTTGGTATATACGCAACAATTACTTACTAAACGCTCGCTGTGTGCCCGGCTCTGTTAACGAATGCTGGAAACGCGCAGACAACCCCTGAGCCACAGTTCCCGTTCCCATCGATGCTTTACGGTCAGGTGTGGGATGGGTGCTTCCACGCTGTGAACCGGGATTAGTACTAACGGGCAGGATATCTGAGGTCTAGTCCTGCTCCCGTCCGATTTGGGCAGGACCTTTAAAAAATCAACAAATGTTTGTTTCTTTCATTGTGTCACCTGGAAAACGCAGATAGTAATACTTCACCTGTCTGACTTGTGCAGTTGTTTTAAGACTCAGATACAATAATGTATGTGGAAATACATTTGAAGACAGGAGTAATACAGTGTGTTGTGGAGTGTGTAACAGTGTCTGTAGTAATGTAAAATATTTTATTTTGCAATTACATTCCACATGTCATTCATTAACTTGGTTGGGAAAGCCCCACATTAACTTAGTCTTGGAGTTCAGAGGTATTTGAAAAATATAAAGTATTTCTGTTTTTCTCCTCTCCACAGAAAAAGATCATGTTAAATATGTTTTTAGACACAATGATGGCCGACCCTCCTCCCCAGTGCCTTGTCTGGCTACCTCTCATGCACAGGCTTGCCCATGTCGAGAATGGTAAGCAGAACTTGTCCCTCTCGTTCCTATGTTATTGGAAGTATGTGAACTGAGTATTTGTAATGTCCTCAGCTACTACGATTGAAATTGTAATTGACATTTGCTGTCACTCTATTATTTGAATTTGTGATTTTAGCTTTCAAAAGAAGAATATCTGTTTCTCAAATAAAGAAGTGGTGGGGGTCTTATTACTTAGATAGGATACCAAGAAGTAGTAATATCCTATATAATAAAAGGGTAATATGCAAATCAACTGAACGGCAGAACGACCGGTTGCTATGACGCACACTGACCACCAGGGGGCAGACACTTAACGCAGGAACTGCCGCCTGGTGGTCAGTGCGCTCCTACAGGGCTCACAGCTGGCGAGCACAGTGGCAGTGGCGGGAACCTCTCCAGCCTCCGCGGCAACACTAAGGATGCCTGACTGCTGGCTTAGGCCCACTCCCCATCAGTTGGACATCCCCTGAGGGCTCCCGGACTGGGAGAGGGCGCAGGCTGGGCTGAGGGACTCTCGTGCACCGGGCCTCTAGTCAGGTCATAAGAGTTTGTGGTTCAAACTCCAGGCTTTCCCCCTGAGATTCCAGGGCGTTGTTTCTGGCTTGAGCCACCTGACTTAGCCATGGCTTCTTTTTTCCTTTAATTTTTAAAAACCTTAGGTCAAAAATTGGATATATTCAGTATCAGCCACTAAAACTAAAACTGTGTTTTAATTGTTTGAAGGAAAGTAGCTAAGATAGAATTTAGTACCGGGTTTCACATATCTTCAGTTCTTCCCTTTAATACTTATTTTACCTTGAATTATTCTCAGTATCCTTTCTAGTAATTTGGCTTAAATCTTTGTTCCACTTGGGATTGAAATGGCACTTATCTCTTGGTAACGTCGTAATTTTTTCTGCTGCTGCTATCAGTTTATCTCCTTGTGTAGGTTGTCTGAGTGTATTAAAGGGAAGGCTGTGGTTTTTCTACGTAACCTTCTCTCGGGGCTCTTCCTGTCTCTCCTCACTCCTCACAGAGAACAGTAGCAGCTGAAAGGCACTAAAAAGCAGAGGCCTCTTCTTTCGCCTCCTAAGAACGAGACACACATCTGTGCTTTTTGATCTTCTCTGCTAGCCATACTCTTTAAAAGAATTTTTATTTATTTATTTTATTTCAGAGAGGAAGGGAGAGGGAGAGAGAATCATTGATCAGCTGCCTCCTCCACACCCCACACTGGGGATTGAACCTGCAACCCAGGCATGCGCCCTGACTGGGGATCAAACCCTGACCTCTTGGTTCATAGGTCGACACAACCACTGAGCCACAGGCAAGGCACTTTTTTTTTTTTTAGATTCAGGATTATTTTTTTAAAGGTCCAGAATCTCTTGACTAGAGTAAAATAGCTATCTTTTTGTGTGCTCGTTTATTAGTCCTCACCCGAAGACACTTTTTCCATTGATTTTTTTTTTAGAGAGTGGAAGGGAGGGAGAGAGAGAGAAATACCAGTGTGAGAGAGACACATCAATTGGTTGCCTCCCACATGTGCCCCGACTGGGGCCGGGGATCGAACCTGCAACCTAGGTACGTACCCTTGACCAGGAATCCAACCTGTGATCCTTTGGTGCACGGGCCGGCACTCTAACCACTGAGCACACCAGCCATGGCAAAACAGCTAACATTTTTAATAGGGTTTTTGGATAGAGATTTATACTATTAAATTATTACAGTATTATTGGTTCTTTTGGAGGCATTACTTTGAGAGCCTTTAAGTGTTTTAGTAGTTTCATAGCCAGTTCATTTTCATAAAATCATTTTGTATCTGCTATACCAAGTAGAAAAATCTTATTTGTCATGATGTGTTATTATTCATATGAACATTTTATTGTGACTTTGTATTATTTATGATTACATTCTTACGTGGTTATTGATATTTTTTTAGAGACCGAGAAATATTATGAAATCATTGGAATACATAGAAAATAAAACATTACCTATCACACTAATATTTATTTACATAACTTCATATTTATGGTGAGAAATAAATTAAATTATGCTATTTTCAGTGGGTTCTTTTTGTTGTTGTTGGGCCCTTTACTTCTCATGAAATTTATTACTCAAATTATATTGAGGTTACTACTCATAAGGACAGATATTTATTTGCTTAAGCAAAAATCGCACTTTTTATACGGGCTTGCTAACTCAAGTGTGTAATATATCAGAAGATAACTATCACATGATGCATTTTTCCAAAAAAGAATACTTTGCCAAAACCTAATCTTATTTATAGTTGACCCAGCACACGTTGGTTCTTTCCTCATTCTGGTTTTCAGCGTTTTCCACCTCGTCACCCAGTCCACTGACTAATATAAGCAATGGCTGGCTTTCGACTGGTTTGTAAGAGAAGAAAAATCACATAGACATACATGTTCAATCAAAATTATCAGAATATGCCTGCTAATTTAATATTGATGTGCAGTGTCATTTAATATTAACCCAAAAGTATATGGAATTATAAACATTGGCTGCACTGATTATGTTGACTGCACTGATGGTAGCTCTAGATTGATTTGGGAGACTGTTCTCGGACAGAACTCTGCTATGTTGTGCAGTTTTAATTTGGAACACAGACTCAGCATTTTCATGATTCCTTAGAAATTATTTGATGACCAAAGCTTGAAATTTTTAGAGGAAGTATGTCCTTTGTATCTCTCATTTGTATTTTGCTTTTCTTTTGGTCTTCAGTGATCTTTTTTTTTCTTTAAACTACTTTTATTTTTTAAATATATTTTTATTGATTTCAGAGAAGGGAGATTGAGAAAGAGAAAGAAACATCAATGATGAGAGAGAATCTTTGATTGTCAGCCTCCTGCACACCCCTACTGCAGACCGAGCTCACAACCAGGGCATGTGCCCTTGACCGGAATTGAACCTGGGATCTTTCAGTCTGCAGGCCAATGCTCTATCCACTGAGCAACCGGCTAGGCTGGTCTTTAGTGACCTTATTATACTGTTTTCCCTACCTAGTGCTCTATTTATTTATTTTTTGACCCTTTATACCCTAGTTAACACATTGCGGACGGATCACGAGAATTCTCGTGTTTTCTGTTCTAAGGCTTGTGGCCAATCAAGAGAATTCTTGAAAAACGATATTAGCTTGTAAGAACATGTCATAAATAACTTCAAAATGCAGTTGGTATTTAATTTTAAAGTGTGCCTTTAAGATTTATGTAAAACTTTCTTTGTGCTCGTTCAATAGAAACTTACCTGGCCACTGGGTAAAGCCAGCAGTAACACTATTGGTCTGCAATGTCTTAATACATATTTTTGGAAGCAGAACTAAAAATTCTTAAAATTGAGATAAGATTGGCTTTGTATATACAGTGCTAGAAAGAGTCATTCCGATGAAGATTTGAATACCGTATCCCTCTTTCCCGTTGACTTCCATTTCTTCCATTCAGCATTGATTTGCCAGAGGGAACGAATATGCTTCCAACGTTTACTAGTAAAAGTATAAATAGTGGGGGGTGGAGGGGCCTGAATATGTTGGCAGAAATGGTTTGACTTCGGGTGGTGGCACATAGTGCAATCAATATACAGATACAGTCACATAGAAATGTACACTTGAAACCTGTATGATCCTATTAACCAGTGTCTCCCAATAAATTTAATTAAAAATAAATAAAAGTATGACTAGCAGTCTATACCACACAGTTGTGCATTGTCCACCTCCCACTCAGGGAACTGGACTTTCAGGCTGTAAGAGAACCCCTGTGAATCCTGAGCACCGCCTGCCCGTTCTCACAAGGTCCGAAGCCCAGTGAGGTGGAGAGAGGAGCCGCAGGTCACTGAGTTCCCTTCCTCTAAACACAGTCCCTTCGCTGTTCTCGAGGACTTTAGTTCTTTGCTGCTACTTAGAGCTCTGAGCTAAAACTACTGTATTGACATGTCTAGCGTTACTTTTTACCAGTTACCTTTTGTGTCCAAGTATGGAGTAGCATTTCCTTCAGCAAACACTCGCAGGTCTTCAGCCCAAGGTGCTGTGTAAAACACCATTTGCGGGTAACACTGATGTACTATATACGCCCTGACTCTCACGGATTTTATGTTAGTGAAGAAACATGTGCGAACAACCAACAGTGATATATATATATATCTTCAAAAGCCAGTAGGTTTGGAAAAGAAACTTCGGAGTGAAGGTTCCGATTTCCTCCTTATTTGTATATTTATCTAAATTTTGAGAAATGTGAGTTTCATTTTAAAGAAAGAAATTGGCTATTTTCTAAGGTGGTTGAAAATTTTATTTTGTTTATTGTTCCCTTTTTTTCTAGTAAATGGCTGGTTGAATGAACTAGGAGACAACTTGAAGTCTTCAGTTCTAATTTTGTTTTCATTTTTTTAAAAAATATTAGATGAGGTTTTCCACTGTGTTGACTTAGTTCCCCAAATGAAAATGATTTTTTTCTCCCTCTTATCCCATTCCTCGTCCTCTGCCCTTCTCTCGTCCCTGCCTTCCCGCCCTCCACAGTCTTCCACCCCGTGGAGTGCTCCTATTGCCACTGTGAGAGCATGATGGGTTTCCGGTACCGGTGCCAGCAGTGCCACAACTACCAGCTCTGCCAAAACTGCTTTTGGCGTGGTCATGCCAGCGGTCCGCACAGCAACCAACACCAGATGAAGGAGCATTCCTCTTGGGTAATTGCTTTATTTTCAGCCTGTGTCCTCAGCTGTTCGTCTGTTTCATCGATAGCAGCACTTGGGCCTATTTTGGGGTAGATGCCTATAAATGAGGATTCGGTGTCATAAGATCTTAATACTGACATTCCGGACTGGGTTTGCAAATATGTTGTACTTCATCACTTGATTTTAAAAGCAGAATTTTGAAAGTTCTAGGAGATGGAGATATGATTACGCTCAAAATAATTCAGTAAAATGGAATGTTGCAATGTCCCCTTTCCAGAGTAAAACTCGAGTTTCTTCTTATTTTAAACTTCTACAAGGTATCTCTCTCAATGCTTATGCTGTGAGCTTTAAATAAGATTTAAAGTTCTTTTTTTAGGCAAATTTAATTTAATAGTGCAAAGAAAGCTGCAGGATACAAAGGAGTTACGTTTTTGCTGCTCTAAGGCTGGGAAAATACCTTATTGCACAATTGCCACATTGGTGGCCTTACTTTCAAGTCGTCTTTTACATACCAGTCCACTATTCAGGCGGAGGTTGATGTCTCATTTCTGTGTTGTGCTTATAAATCACGTAACAAGCTTAGTACCAATACATTTTCTTTCCTCTTTCAGTTTATTTCCAGAGTTTTTACCTTTTTCATTTGTTGGTTGGTTGGTTTGTTAAACAGTAAAAAAATGTAGGGTTGTCACCCAAAGGTATATGCACACACTTTGAATAATTTTAAAGGCAGTGTTTATTAAAATACATTTCACGTTCAAAATTGAACTATCAGCTGTTAAAGTATATATAACATTTTTTGAGACACCTGGTTATTAGTATAATTCAAGATCAAGCTTGTTAAGCCTGGTCATTCTACTGGACTTTAAGTAACAAAAAAAGTGGTGTGTGTGTTTTTTTCCTAGTTAGCTTTCATAAAACTAACCAAGAAAAAGTAAGTAAGTTTATATCAGAGATGAGTGTGTGTGTTTAAAAAAAAGAACAGACTGCAACCAAGTGTGTACTTTACTTCCTACATCTGAGGATACGTTAGAGATAAAAAAAATTTTTTTATTAGTTTTTCAGTTACAGTTAACCATAAAATTTTGTTAAATAGAAGATCCTGTTCTGAGTCTTGTTACATTGTAAATGCCAATATTTTTCTGAGGAGTTATTTTAAACTTTTAGAATGGATTGTGAGGAAACAGTTGGACTTACTGGTAGCCCCTGAGTTCAATATACTCCCACCCAGTGTGGGCCTTTCCAGCAGGGAGTGGAGCCTTGACGCTTACGGCTCTGGGCGAAGTGTGCCCTATGGAGTTTGTAGATCCCAGAAACACGGGAGGGGAAGAGGCTGAGCCAGGCATGTTCATGACTTCTCTAAACACAACCAGTCTGATTGGGAGAGGAGTGGGAGGGAGAGGAGTGAGTGAGGGCAGAGGGCAGTCTGGTGGAGTCCTGCAGAGAAGGTGACCCAGTTAGTCCTCCCTCCCTCCCT